TAATATTGATATTATCTATTTATATATATATATGTATATATAAAGTTTATGTTTAAATGGAAAAGAAGAAAGCATGAAACTGAAACAGAAGCATGAATTGTTAGCCCATGCCCAGGTGGTGCAAGACTATTCAGGTAAGCAGGACTGCTAGAATGAGTGGTATTTAAGGAAAAATAAGTTCTGGGTTTGTCTGAGAGTTCTTTATTTTTTTGGCAATGCTTGCATTTACAGAGAAATAAATAGTTTATTATTAAGGTCTGATCTAGCAAATGAATGGTGGTTTTGATAGATGCTGCAGTACCTTTGAATTATCCATGCAATTTTTGGAGCAATGCAATCCATACTCATTAGATTATAAAATGAATGTCCTGGCCTTTTGACAGTGCAGGAGCTTTAAGTACTTTGGACCTGTAACCAGATAGCAGAGCATAAAATGTCTCCAGAAGGCCAGTGTTTAAGATGAGGTTAACACCAGGTACAGTAACTTTCGTTTACCTTCCAGTTCTTCTGGATTTGAGAGAAGAACGAAAGCTTGAAATTTCAACATCAGTGTGTTCCTGCTAAGGCCACATAATTATTTTTTATTTATGGTTTTCAAATGACATGGGGATTGCACTGACATAAGTGAGGCATTAAGGCCAGAGAAGTAGATTTGGGATGTCAGAGCATACATTACTCCCTGTGGTGTCTGATTGCATTCATCTTGCATTTGCTCTGCGTCTAGAAACCCCTTGTGTCCTTCCTGCAACATGCTCTCTGGAAATTAAATTCACTCTCAAGTTATCAAGGAACCAAGGGGCCTACATGGAGAATGGATTTTATGACAATGTCAAGACACCTTTAGCTTGCTGGCACTCAAGAAATCAATCTGAAATATCTCCTTTTGGCATTTTAATGAAGGAACATGTTTCTGCTAATCCACTGTGACACCTTCTGCCCCTGCCTCCCCGGCAGCCTTTGCAGAAGATATGTTTTGTTGTGTACGAGAAACAGCAGTCGCTTGTTTATTGGTGACAGCATCAATGTGTATTTTCTGCAAACGTATTGTCTTCTTGTAGCTAGGTATTAAGGGTCTTAAAATGACTGGGCACATAAATAATAGAAATATTGGTTAAAAAAGCAAGGTTGGGAATGTGACTGGGGTCATGTCAAGCATATAAAGTTGTAGAAGGGGAGAAAAGGAAAAGAATACTTGTAATAATAACGTCGTTACTTTTTTGGGATATCTTTCACCTTTTATTTGCACAGTGCTGCAAAAAAGAGTCTCTGTGTGGATGGCAAGACACCCAGGGAGAGAAAATCTTTTTTCCTCAAGAAAAAGCAGCTGTTGCTCAGCCTTGCACAGCACCAGCACCTGCCCCTTATGGTGGGAAGGGAAGCTTAAGGCAGCAAAGTGGGTTGGAGTTGGAATGGAGACTACCTGAATGGTGCTTGTGAGGCAGCACAAAGGCATTATTTAGCATAGACTTAGAAGGGAAACAAGAACGGCTGCTTGAAAATGTGATGCAGTTTGAAAATTTCAGCATTTTTCCCAGTTGAAAATGAAGGGGGAAAGTAGTGAGTGCTTTGCTCTTACCCAACTGCAACATTATTTACATTCTGAAATTTTCGAACGTAGAGGGAAAAGGAAAAAAAACTGCTAATCTCAACTTCTTCCCTTTCATCCTTTTTTTCAAAACAGCATTTAGCTGAAGTTGCCTAAATCAGGAGTGCTCGCTGCCTTCCCCACTGTGATATCTCCCTGCTTCCAGCTGGGAAGAGAGATGCACTCCCTTGTAATTGCTGGTTGCAGCGTGCGAGTGTGGACTTGGCTGGAAAGGAGATGATAAATAAAAAAAATTATGCAAGGTTTTTATAAAATATCCAGGAAATCTTTTAACTCGAAGACTTGGAGTAAGCAGATGGTGTGCGGCCAAATGAATGCACACGCATGTTGCTGGGAAATACTGCTCTTGGGTTTTACTTGCTAGTTTTAAGAGCATTCCCCTATGGCTTGTTCAGAAAATGCCTCATTTTGCGTGTCCGGCAGACTCACAGCTGAAAACATCCCTGTTTCCAAAGTAAGGCCAGGTTTTATTTACAGAGTATAATACTAAGGTAGTGATCCCTTTTGGGGTTTTTGATGGGATGCAGTAAATACTCGGTACCGGGTATTGATTTGACATTGGTCTGGAGGAAGGGACCCAATAAAGTGCGAGGGGAAGAGAATCCACAGAAGACATC